GTGTGGACGATTTGATAGCGTATATGAATGACCAGTACTTAATGAAATCTCAAGAAATCTTTTAAAAAAAATTTTGTCGAAAATCGCGTGCTTTATGATAAGAAATGTAGGCGTGCACCTTTATAACTATCTTACATTGTCGTCCGTGATTCATGTATTATCGTTTTTATCACTGTTAAACGTTATTAGTGATAATGATTTATCGCAATAAATGATTGAACTAGCGCACGTGACAAGGTTTGGATTTACTATGTAATACCGTCAGTTTTACTTTCCTGAATGCATCTATATACATATCTGCAGATATTTTTTATGTATCCATCCCTGATACTAAATGACATTCACGTTATCAAGTGATGTCTATGGTAACTGGTGCGTTGCCATTCGGGAAGACTTAAGTAGTCAGGCCCTGTAATTACACTATTATCTCACGTTTCATCCGATACAGAGCTTACAAAGAGGTCAGCTCAAGAACTTAGAAATAGATGAGGCGGAGGTTATTTTAATAATAACAGAATTGTGCACCAGTCTGCTCTAACGGTCTACGATGGCGGAGCACCAGTAGTGGATGATTAGATGAACAAAGGGTCAGGTCAGTTAACTCATCATGACAAATTCACCAGTAATTCGTCACGGAGGTATGAATGTATTCAAATTCAAAATATCTTTATTCATGTAGGTCATATTTCGACACGTGAAGAATTCACAAGAAACTCAGCACGTATTCTTTTCAATTAATTAAATAGTTGTACATGTTTACAATAATATAGATTCATTTTTAAATTCAAATTTGGGAGAATAGAGTGACCAATAGCATATGCTATTGCAATAGTAAATAGTCTAATCAGTGTTCGTAATGCGAACAGACCAGTCCCACCAAGCGGCGCCCGGTCACGAATATAACATCTGCAATATCATTATTATTATTATCTAATTTGCCTAAATAAGGGGCAACCCTGGAAGCGCTCTTTCTAGCTTTCCCCACCACTGTTACGATATCGCCACCGATTTTAAGGCTGTGTGTATACTCATTAAATAAGGATAAAAAACAATTAGACACGGAGCGGTCGATGAACTCAATTTATTTAGAGATCAACCGTAGCTTGTCATTTCCACTTTACGAATCGTCGGCGTCTTTGTTAACCACTTTGTGCAAACTCAAGAAACTGATTTTTAATAGACCGTTTATATCAAGGCTTGTGCTGGCCAATGCTAGCAACAAATTCTATGTATATACCTATATAATAATAATAATAATAATAAATTCCTTGCCTAGGAACTGAGCTATGCACGAATGCTGTATCTCAGTAGACCAGAATTCACCCCTCGGTTGTACTGTTATATATATATTCTATATATGTTATACATATCTGATCGCTTCAACGTCCTCAATATGTAATTTTTGTTGCCCAGTTAATTCTTCCAACTTTGTGCAGTGTACTACGTGACTTACTGTTATTTGACTAATAATACAAAAACCTACCCTTAGATCTAGTTTAGCTGTGTGATACGTATGTTGTAATCTTATTCGGGGTTCACGGATTCAGTTCTTCACCTGCAGTTGTCTCTTTAAACCCAATTTGTTCTTTTTAAACCCAAATTGGAGAATTGCTTGAATTGCTCTTATAGAACAAGCATATATGCTATATGCTTGTTCTATAAGAGCCCTCTTATTTTGCATTAGGATACCTCATGACTGCTATTCTGAACATAGGTCTGGTACTAATCTAATAATAAAATTGTGTAAGTATAGTCGATTTTTGTGTGTAAATGAGAAAGTTTCAATTAAGTTGTTTACCTTTATTCGACAGAAGTAGATTTTTTTATGTGTGTCTTAATATACCTTTATCCGACGTGGCAACTCAAACCTGACTACTAATTACGGACCCAAATTGAGTGTATTGTAACTAATTAATTAGTATGTAAAACAGTAGTAAGTGTTTAATTAGAATCCATTTACATACAACAATTACGCATAGAATTTTGCAATTGATTACAGTATTATACGTCATTAGCTCAGTCGACGACAACCTAAGACATTATATCTATACCATTGTAACGACGAGAAAGTGTGAGTTTTATGTGGTAACACTTTGCCTATTTTTGGTAGGAATGCTTGGATGGTCATGGTATTCCCGAGAAATAGCAAATACTGACGAGGCAGTGGAAAGTTAGAGGATAAGTGTGGACGATTTGATAGCGTATATGAATGACCAGTACTTAATGAAATCTCAAGAAATCTTTTAAAAAAAATTTTGTTGAAAATCGCGTGCTTAGGTAACCTAAGTTTCAGCTACTTCAGCTGACAAGCTTGCGTTTGAGCTGTGATTCAGTTGAAAATTGGGATATGACAGTGATTTATAACAATAATCATGATGAACAAGTTCGTATATATATATATATAGTCTATTTTTATTAGGGATGCGGAGAATGATAAGAGGATCAGGTCACGTAGATCCCGGGGACTTAATAATTATTTGTTTTTTTTTTAATTGGGATATGTCACTGATCTATAGCAATAATCATGTTCGTATATGGATGTATGTATATATAGTCATGCCAGATGTCCTTCATTCGAACTTAACATTCGGAAACTATCAAGTGCAAGGTTACAAACCACCTGTTGCTTTTGAAGGCGGCCCGGCGAAATAAACACCACTGAGTATCCCCTTTTTAGGATTCCATATTCAATTCATATATAATTCATTAGGGTACTCCATACAACTTTCTGACGTAGGTTGCAAATTACTTCTATTGCTATTGCGGCTCATAGTCTGGGTCTATGGGCGATAAAGGAAACCAGGGAATTGTCGTAAAAATATATAAGTAAGAAAACACAACAAACTAGGGTCAGGAAGGGAATCCGAAAAGAACAAGGATGTAGTGACAATTTAGAATTTGGTATTCTAAATAACTTCATTTCATTTCTAAATAATATATAATGCTTTAAAAATATAAGATATATTAAGCAAGTGGTCTGTCAGAAGAATAGAAAATAAAAGTTAAAAACTAACTTGGATAAAGACTTTTCAAAGATATATTAACTTTACTAAGTAGGTGTCTAATTATTATTTAATTAATTTTGTAATGTAATGCCAATGGAACCAAGTAAAAAATATCAATCTTATATTCCCAAGTAAAGTTGGAATACCTACAAATGTTCATATACTAGGATATATAAAATAATAATTAATAAAAACAATACTATTAAAAACGTATAATATAGTAATATAACTATCTTGGACTGGCAATAGGTTATCAGTTATAAGATATTATTAATTAATTACAAACTATTATTAAAACGAATATAAAACAAACTTTTGTTAATGAAAACTGACCTATGTGACATACAGGCATATTATATATTTATCAGTATAATAATTAAATTTAATGTAATTAGATAATAATTAATATAAACAAAAAGTACTATAAACATTTCACACAGCGCTATCTACAACTAAATTAAGTAGAGCTTGTAACTTTCGGTACTAGACAACTGATAGAACCGGCGCCCCCGGGCGCCCCTCCAATCGATCCCCCGTTCAATTCAAACGGGGATCGATATTACGATGGCCTGAGCCGAGGTTCGTGCCCCAATGGTGCCCTCAGGCTAAAGTCGTATCCGTCAGACCAGAGTTGGACTTCAGCCGCTCTATTAGGTTTGGAGTGCCATCTGCACTCGCCCCCTGACGTCCAGAGAAGCTGTAAAGGCCAACAGCATTAGAGTAGTCCGAAAAAAAACTGATAGAATAAAATGTTTAAGTACTTATTAATAAAAATACTTTTATCTATATTTCCTTTATTAACCAACGCAAAAAACTTGTTTGCAATTAAATATAGATTTTTATATACTAGCTGTACCCTCAGTTTCATCCGCATGAAATTTGTAGTCTATATGTTATTCTGATGTATAAGTTATATTACTGTAAAGTTTTATCAAAATCCGTTTAGTAGTTTTTGCTTGATAGAGTAACAAATATCCATGCATACTTACAAACTTTCGCGTTTATAATATTATTAAGATTTACAGTCAATAAGTTGCGACTTTTTTATGTAAATGTTACCGTCTAGTACACCATTGATCGTTTACACAATAAATACAGTTACTTATATATGCACTAGCTATAGAAACACAACGCTATGTTTGTTTATCATTGCGTTTACAAATATTAATGTTTTTAAACATTCATACTCCTGACTACGTTAGGTGTGATTCTTTAGGAAAAGCCACTGTTGTACAGATGAATAAATTTGAATTAAATTTAAGATCTATACCAATATCTTAAAGGAAAGATTTGATTTGATTCTATATTTAGACACGAGACTTTCAATATTTTGATTCATCACTCATTATTTGGTAGTAATTTCTCCCATTTTATACTATATGAATAGGTACTCGTAAATCGTACGACGGCCTCGGTGGTCTAGCGGTTTGGCACACCGCTTTACTTCCGATGGTCGCGATTCGATTTCTAGCACGGTGCAAACAACATAAAATAATTTACTTTTGTAGGAAACCAATGTCCTACAAAGGTAAATTATTTTTTATTTGATTTGATTCATACTTTCATATTCAATACTAGTTTATAAATAGAATACACAGACGAGGTTATTTTATAATTGACATTTCTAATTTATTAATATTTTTTTTATTAATGAAAACAGATTAAAAATTACATTATGTATGTTATAGATTATTTTAAGTTAACATAAGGTCGTCAAACCAGTTCGTTCGCCCCTCACAAAATTGTTTTGCTGTGTTGCTAATGTATACGGAAATGAACTTGGTTAGATAATCTGTTTACATATATATACTAGCAGATTAAATTATAGACTATGTGTTAATCTCATGTATAAACTGCATGTGTTACTGTAAAGTTTCATCAAAATCCGTTCAGTAGTTGAATAAGTAACAAACATCCATCCATATACAGAACTTTCGCGTTTATAATACATATTAGTAAACTATGTATTTATGTTCTGTTATATCTTGTTTCCAGGTTTGAACTCCGACGCACTCTTCTAATATGGAATACCGCGCTGGCTGCCTTCAGCATCATGGGCGCTTGCCGGACGTTGCCAGAATTCATCCATGTGCTCCGGAACCATGGTATCTACCATTCCATCTGTGTACCCAGGTGAGGAACTAGTTTACATGTAATGTAATGTAATATGGACTCTATTCTCCGCATGTAGCCTCTCATTTGGGCTGTTATGCGTGCGTTTATATGTAACCTACAAAGTTTTTATGACTATAACATTTAAGACTGCACGTCCCAGGCCTCGCTCCATACAAAACGTGATACTATGAAAATTGTCTACAACTAATTATACTCGATAAAATTTTGTCCATTGAATAAGATAACTAATATCAACGTTTTATACTGGGCAGATTTGCGTTAAATAATTTTGTTTAAGAATTACACATAACGTAAAAAAAGTCCTAAAATCATCAAGAGAGAAAAATGTGCAAGACATTAGAATTATAATGAAATTTCAGAAATTATTTCAAAAATTTCATTATCAAATTGGAATTATAATAATAGATTAAGTTGAGTAGAGCGGAACGTAAATATTTACGGCAACATTTCGATTAAAAGTATTACTATCGTGCTTGGGTGAGGTGAGACGCAATGTCTCTGAATAGAGACAGAACGGATAATCAGATTAGTAAGAATTTAGGATATATTAGATGACACCGCAAAATCGTACGTTTGGTGCTCGGAATAGGTTGTTTTGTGTTTCAATAGAATTGTAAATAAATTGTAAGTAAATAAAATTCAATTGTAATTGTAAATAAATATTTTAGGAAGATTACAGCAATTGCGGTTTTAATAGGTTAAAACCATATTTACACCTGGAGAATGATTTCAACAGACAATCAGTCAGGGATGCCAAAAACTAGCTTTGGTCCGCGACACTATGAGTACAATGTTTATTATTTAATGCACAAACACTACTCGTTTTTTTATTATTATACCGGTTTCTACAAAACCAACACTCTGCCTTATTCATAAAACAATCCAATCTCAATTTTACAATATTCTTAAGAATCTGTTGCCAATACTATACTTTGTTTTATATATTTATTACTTTTTATAATTTGACTTATCTCACAATAAAATAAATAATATGAACGCAAGTTTAATTCCCAACAATGTCTTTATTTTTATATTTGTATAATTAATTCTTAGATACTGTGGACATGTCTTGAAATGTTTAAAGAAAGTCACGTATTTGATGTTCTGATGATAAAAGACGTACTATTATCACAGTAGTAATGCATAGAAACATCACGTACAGTGTCATCACAAAAAAATTAGAACGATTCTACGCGCCGAGGTTGTTAAAATGAAAGGGTTGCAACTAACAAAATATTTTATATGCAAACCGTACTTTTCAAATGATATTAGACTGATCGGCGCCGCTGACGTATCTGTTCATATTGATCCCATAATGTATAACTATGTACGCAATGTAATGTATTCTAGCTTAATTGTACACGCTAGTTAAGTTTTGATTCGCTGAAAAATATAAGTTTTTTTTATACCACGATGCTGGCAATTAAGCATACGGCCCCAGTTCGTGCGAATGTTGTGTTGGAGGATATTAATAAATAAATAAACATGAAAATGTTATACTATATGTATACACACTAGCCGTTACCCGCGGCTTCGCATGTATAAATTTCTCCCTATTTCAACCTGTTCTAGATTACTTTTTGGGACAAAAGTTAGCCTATGTTCGTCTCCGTAACACCGTATATAAAATCTCAGGAATATCCGTTTAGCCGTTCAGTTTTAGTCATTCAAACAAACAAATACAATATTACATTTAATGATTTCTTATGAATAATGATTAAAATATAAACTATAAGGGTGCGAAATTTCATACTCTTCCGTCTGCGCAAATATCTTAGAAAGCGGTACAAAGTTTTTGTTCCACGTATATACATACAATGATAGTATAGATAGTGATAACATAACAGAATTGTAATAATTTCTGTATTTTCCAACATTTACTTGATGTAATCCCATTTGCACCGAGCCGGTTTTCGTATAGTCGATACGTTTTTTTATGAACTGTGACGCACATAGCTCTAGAGTAGCCGGCTTAACAACAAACATTGGTAAAGATTTTATTTGTAAAGTTATTGTTGGTCGTAGGTAAAGGTACATTGATTTTTCCATGACGTTAGTTTGCTCAGATGCTCGTTTATCTCGGAACCTGCTGTGGAATATATAAACCTTTTTATTTTTATCAATAAATACCGCAGAGCAGTTTTGTTAAGCCGTCATCATTGGGGCGGAAAAGTTACACCTATGTTAAGAATGTACTTTTTATGTATTATGTATTTTTTTTTATGTATGCTTTGTATGAAAGAAATGAACCTTATTTCAAATAATATTAGTATTATAAAAAAGTTAATTGATAAACTAAACTGCTTAGTTTTAGATTCTCATTATAGATGCCTATTTTACTAATATTATAAACGCGAAAGTGATGAGTATGGATGTTTGTTACTCTTTCACGCAAAAACTACTGAACGGATTTTGATGAAACTGCAGTAATATATAGCTTATAGATAAGAATAACACGTGTGCTACAAATTTCATGCGGAAACTGCGGTGTAAAATAAGAATACTATGGAATTACTAAATCTGTGCTTATCGTCTTTTCTTTACTGGTAATGTTTTTCGTGATATTTTTGTACAATTGAATAATATATGTAAGATCACGTTTTCACGACAAATAAACATAGTAATAGATACTTAGAATGTACAAAAGTTTATAAATATTTAAACACAAAAAAAATGTAGTTGAAATATTACATATTACATAATAGTTACATTACACAAAGTAAATAACGAATATTTTTACTGTATGTAGACATCAGAAATTGTGAAGACTATATCAGTAGTTCTCTGTTACTAACTGACTGCTTGTATCAACTAGTAATAGAACGAATTGAATTTGTATGATTTCAATATATTAAATTATTATAATGAGGATCTTTTTGAATGGTTGGTTGGTTTTGAAATGTTTCTTAAAGTAGAGTCAATAAAATTTGTATTGATTTGTTTGATTGATTTGTTTTGGTTACCATGGTAACACATACATTTATTGGCTGCCAGTTACAAATTATGCTTGCTACAGAATTACTTATCAATACTTATCATTCATTTTATGAATTAACGTAATCTTGCAGACTATAACAGATAATAAATCTCATTTTATTTTAAATCACTATGTATATCTCGGGAAGACAAAGGCTCGAAGAGCCGGCACTTGGAAAAAATCTAATTAATTATTAGATTTTTTGAAGTCTAGGCCAAAATCAATAATTTCACTGTAGACCACTATGCAATATGCTCGCGTCACTCTTTAAAATATTGTTTAATAGTATATACAAATAAGGAGAATAAACATTTCAATTCTGCATCTATTCTACTATTATTTCTCATTCGTTAACAGTGTGATTTCCGAGGAAAGTTCACGTGTATAATTGGTTGAGTTGTACAAAGCCGAGGCTGGTTGTTAGTTAATATAACAATGTATGAAGAGTCCATGTCCGAACGGTATACTTATCTATTAATTTGTCCCCCGATGCCGTCTATAAAATAACCCAAATGTTAATGTTGGTATGCCAAGTGCTCCATAAATGAAATTATATAAACATTCTTGGCATCCATTCAAAGTTTCTCGGGTTTTCTAAGCTTTACGTTGTCGGCCGCACGTCACTCATTGAGCCGTTTCATTCATACGCAAGGTCCATTCACGCCGTCCTTTCCAACCGAATAGCTGAATAGTTTACACGAAATTGTGACGTTTAACATGTAAATTTCCATTGTTAGTTTTTTTTATGGATGATATGTGCACCCCCGCCTGCGCTAACGCTTAATTCCCATTGTTATAGATTTTTTATCGATAATAGTGGAATGGTACACCCGCCTGTGTTAACGGTTTACGCTGGTGGCGCACCAGTGAAAGATTATAAGATGAGCATGAGGTCAGGTCAGTTAGTCCATCGTGGGAAATTCACTAGGAATTTCTCACGTTGGTTTTCAGGGGGAACCGCGTGGAGGTCAACCATTAGTACGATACACGGAAGTTCGTCAAGATATGTATGAGGTTAGAGAGCCAAATTCAGGTAATATACGAGATTCATTAATATTCTTACGAGGCCAAAATGTTTTAAATTTGGTGACCCTGCTTATGTCATTCTAAAAAGTAGGATATGCAAAATTTCATGATGAAGGTTAAGGTGTAAAAGCATAAAAAATAATTATATTTGTCTTTAACATTTTATAGTAGTAGTGGATATTAATATTTAAATTAATTTAGCTGAAAATTTGCAATTTTATTTAGATATATATATATATAAAATAGCTACATAACTATAATAGCATACCGCAACCCGGCCCGCGAGAAGTACGGCCTGTATCTCTTTGATAAAAACTGGTCTAGAAAAAAATCAAGACCAATATTTATTCTTTTGTTGTACAACAACAAATGTAGATAAAAAATATTCTTTCTGTATATAGTACTGATGTTATTATACATTGTATTTTATTATGTAAAGTAGGCTACGCCTCTCATCTACGAGATGCTAATTAATTTATTATTATTTGTGTAACTGTAGGCAAGATCTCTGATGCGAAAATGATGCCTCTGTACCATTAAAATATTAATTTAAATAACAAAAATTGTTTAGAGAATTTAATTTTCTACAGAATCGCCTGCGTGGGTGCCTCGGTTTGACCTATTTCTGCTGCCAAGCAGCTTATTTTATAAGATATTCTAACTGACCCAACAAGAAACGTTATATTGCCATGTAAATTAATCAGTTATCTACCTCCGAGAGTAGAAAATTATTAAAATATTAATATCGCTATTAAAAATAGGAGTTGACGTTAAAAGGGTGAAAATTTTGTTATGAAAAAAGTTTAAACATTTATAGATAGTTTCAGTATTCTTCTCTGTTCTATATTTAGTCCTTCCTAATGTTATAAATGCGAAAGTTTGTCTTACCGTCTGTCTGTTTATTTTTACATTTTCACGACTCAACGTGGTTGTTAATATCAGCTGAATGAAATTTGACGTAAAGATAAATATAATCACGAATCCGGACTTGGAT